TTCTTTAATATTTATTTTTTAGTTATCGGCAGACACAACATCTTTGTATGTGATGCTGAGGGTTGTGATGCTGAGGATAGAACCCGGGCCGCACGCATGCCAGGCGAGCGAGCTACCGCTGAGCCACATCCCCAGACCTCTTTTTTWAAAATATTTATTTCTTAGTTTTAGGTGGATACAATATCTTTATTTTACATTTATGTGGTGCTGAGGATCGAACCCAGTGCCCCATGCATGCTAGGTGAGCGCTCTACCACTGAGCCACAATCCCAGTCCCCAAAATATACCTCTTTTCCTTAAAACCTACCCAGTCTTATGATCTTATTATAAAAACAGAAAATAAAGAAGTATTTATATTTCTCCTCAGCCCTCTCATACTGTGAGTCTCTAGACAAGTTAATCTCAGAGGAGAGGTTCTCAAGACTTATGAACCATTTTTTCATTCTCTTCATACTGTATTTCTTCCTCTCAAAAGTAACAGGCTATATTGTTAACCTTACTTGGCTGTTTATTTGATGTTCCTGTCTTGCTGCTACTATTCATGACCTGCTCTCCATCCTTTGGTTAGAAATAAAAATAGTAGAGATTGTAATTTAGATTGAAGGAGGACATTTGTTAGAAATGTTAATCTTCTATCTTCTGTTTTCCTGATTATATCAGAAGTTAAAAATCAGACTTACAAAGTCCTAGTATAAGAGAAATAGGAAATGGGAAGACCTTCTTGGCCTTCCTGGAGCTGTAAKTCTCCTTAAGGAGAAAAATATAAACATAAAAAAAAAAAAAACCCCACAGGGTTTGGGTAACCTATGACAATTTTTATTTTGTAAATACTCAATGCTTTGCATATGGCAGAAGGGAAATAAGACCTTAGGCAATTAAGTTTTATTTAAAGGGGGCTGGAATCTGAGAATTCTGACAATGAGAAAACTATAAACCAAAGCTGTATGAGAACAGGCACCATGTCTTCACCATTGCCTATTCAGTGTCACCTCTGTCTCTGGCAGGTTCTCAGTTAATACAAGTTAAATAAGTGAATATCTTTATTAAACAAGTTGAAAAGAGATAGATACTTGATTTGGGCAAAAGTGAGATCCAAAGATTTGAGAAAATATTAGGAGATAGAAATGATTRTTGAACACAGTAGAAAGCCTACCTGACCAGATCTGTGGGAATGAGCTGGAAGATCTGAGAAAAAAGCTTGCTGAAGGGAGATTGGGATCAAATTAAAAGCATCTTTGATTGCCAGACTTGAGAATTTGAAGTTTGTTCTTTAAGCAGTGTATATTTTGAAGAAATTCTGGCATTGTTTAGGCAGTGTTTTAGGAGGAGTATGATGAGCTCTCTCTGCTTCCTGGCCCGACCATGAGCTGTGCAGTTTTCCTCTGCTGGGTCCTTCCTATATTGATGTGCTGCCTCATCTTGGACCCAAACAAGAGTCAGTCATCTATGCACTAAGGCCTTTGAAACTRTGAGCTCCAAATAAACTTACCCACCTCTTTAAAAAAACAAAACAACAACAAAAGGAATGTTTTTTTTTTTGTGGGGGGGGGGAGCAGGGGTTGAACTCAGGGGCACTCAACCACCAAGCCACATCCCTAACCCTATTTTGTATTTTATTAGAGACAGGGTCTCACTGAGTTGCTTAGCACCTGGCTAAATTGCTGAGACTGGSTTTGAAGTCAAGATCCTCCTGCCTCTGCCTCTGCCTCTGCCTCCTGAGCCGCTGGGATTACAGGAATGGGCAACTGTGCCTGACAAGAAATAGTCTTGATGATACTGTAGGTTATAGTAAGGAAGAGACTGGAGAGCAGCTTTGAGACCAGTTGTTATGTTGGCTTGAAATTCTTTGGAAAAAATAAAATATTTTTATATGTACTATGTTATGTAGAGGTACTTTTTGAACTCTACTGATTGAACATAATGATATGACTTGTCTTTTTCAGTATTTGGTTTTCCATGGCATTTTGTTATCTTCGAGGCTTTTCTATGAAATCATGGTATAAATTTTGAATGTATTTATTCTACCTTTATTTGCCTTTTATTAATGTCAAGCATAGCATATAAGACATTTCCTGTTGCTATGCAACTGCTAAATTCAATATTTATTATTAATAAAACTGAGTGGTATTAACATCCAGTGAACAGAGGGTAGCAAAATATAGCTTTACAGATCCAATAATATTTGTAAGGTTTGATGTATTATAAATATGAGCAAAAGAGGAGTGGCTTGTTTATAGTTAATATTTTGAGCAGAATTAGTTGTGGTTAAATATTTTGAGTTTATGACCAGACTTTTGGTTTTTATTTGCTTCCTTTTGGTCTTTTTCACTGTTTTTTGATCTATGATTTTTTAAGTGTCTGTGTAATCTATGATGTTTCTCAATCTTTTTTCATATTCCATTCTTTATAATTTAAAATTTTTGTTCTTCCATAGTCATCTTCTGCACATTTCCTTTGTAGTATTATTTCTTGCTATATTTACATTTTTCCTTTTCGAGAATTTATGCTTAGAATGCATATTTGGAATTTGTTATAATAAACACAGGTAAAAGAATATAGACTTGCTCTTTAGGATAAGAGCTGCCAGTAATTGCTTAGCTATATTTTCAGTGTGTGTTCAATGATTTCTAGATATTTAAACACTTTATATTTGTGAAATCAGAATTCCTTTTTGCAGGGATGAAAAGTAGGAATGCTTAAGAGTTGGAGACAAGCTATGAGACTTATTTTGGAGTAATTGCTGAGATCTGGTTCCAGGGCTAAGAGGATAGATAGCATCGAACAATTCCTTTTCATTATTTCACCACCAGCCCTCTGCCTGTACAACCTCTGACCCCAACACTTTCTCCTCCCTAATGTGGGGAAGAGCAAAGGACCATAGTAATTTAATGGAAAACATTTTAAGTATAGTAGGTAAATAATAAGCAGGCATAAGTACCTCTCATTTGTTGGAGTGGGTAGTTTGCTAATATCTTTGGATAGGAAGAAGTAAGGAGGATTGAAAATCATTTGCTCCCCTAATAGTAAGTGAAAAAATCTACAGTTTTAAAATAGTGCAGAAAAAACAATTCTCTAATTACAATGTAGATGACACAAACTCTGGAGGTTACTCTGTTGAAAATGATGGCTTACAATGTTATTTTTATAGCCAGATGAACAAGATACTATTTCTAGGGATCATCTTGTCTACCCCCTTAATCTTTCAAGTACTTTATTGTTTTATATTTAATATGTTGTGTTTGTGGTAAATAAATGGCTTATATATTTGAGCCTCAAAAATGTCCAGTAGCCTATATATTATTAGTGATTCCCTTTATCCTGAATATAAAAGTGCTGTTTAACAATTTAAAAAAATTACAAGGCTTCAGATGATAATGGATTATCTGACAAAATACACCGTTCCTGAAAATACTAGGAATTAATTTAACTCTTTTTATATTAATTACAATAGAATATCTGTGTATTTCAAAAGTATTATGTACACCACATGTGCAAGACATACTAATTCTCTTTAAAGATCATGGTTAATGTGCATATGGATTTATGTAATAAGTATTTGAGCCCACAGTGAGGTCTTTGAAACATAGTTTGGGAACCAGTGCTCTAAAGCTTTATTCCTGGTATATTGTATAGAACTATAATCTAATTCCCTTCCGTTTAGTCTCTTCATTCTTTCTTCAACAATCCAGAAAAATTAGCAAGATGTTTTCATTAAATAGACCAGCAAAATTTGTGTAATAAAGTTAGAAAAACTGCTTATTTTTTAATTTTCTATTTTATTCATGATGTAGAAGGATATGAGAGTTCTAAATATTTGTGTACAGGTATATTTGAATTTTTTTCTCCTTTTTTGTATGTATAATTAGTGATTTTATCTTTGTAAAGGAACTAACAAATAGTTTCACCTTGTTGGCAATATGAAATTTGGAGTTCTTTTTTTCTAAAATATTGTGTGTGCATATGAGAAAGAGAGAAAGTTGTTCTCAGTGAGGATTTTCATTTAAGAAACTATTAACTTGAAAAAGTCYATGATCTCAATTGGTATTCAGAAAAATAATAATGTTCTAGATTATTCTAGAACATTGTGGAAGTTCTCAAATACTTTCACTCTTCAGTGAGAAAGTTGCCCTTTAAAATGGAGCTTGAGAGTTAATGTAAAAATTTTGTAGAACAAGCAAGAGAAACTCAGTTTACATTCTTCCATTAATTATTTCTGGTGTCTTTTTTCTTTCTTGATTGTGCTCTGAATTTTTGTTGATTATTAATCATTAACAAATGCAAATGCTCCTTCTACATTTGTCATTGACACTTTTTCTTTAGCATCCCTTCAATAATAATAATCTGGGATTCTTGAGAACTGGAGAAAACATCATCATTTTTCTTGTAACCAATCAGTATTACCATAGTGGATATTATATTATTGTGATGATGGATTCTTTTTTTTTTTTTTTTTTAAATCCTTTTTAGGGTTTGAAAGTATTCTTGAAGGGCTGTTTGGACCTGCATTATTTAAAGATCTCAGTTTATTTAAAGGTATTCAAAATATTTTTGGTATTTCAGATTATTCCTGGTGACAAATATGGTACCTTGGTAATTTAAGCTTTATGTCTCATCATTTTTATTTGCAGTTTTATGAGGGTTAGAGCTATCTTCATGTAAGCTTTGCGTGTGGGGGGGGAGGTGTGTTTAGTTGATATTGTTAATATATGCATGATTAGCACATACCAGTGAGCAGTTTGGWGAAGAATTTTGAGTTAAGAATTTTAAGACTTAGCTGTTGGTATAGTTCATTACCCTGTACCCAGTTTTCAGTGGTAGAGAACATTCTTAGATGTATATACAAGGCTCTGGGTTTAAAAATTTAAGATAAAAGAATTTTAAGACATAAGAAGCATGTCTACTCTTAGTGAAGATTTTGTTAAACAGTGTTTTTGAAATTGATTTATTTTCTTAAAAATTCAACTTCATGATTATTAATTTGTCATTCATTTTATTTTTAGAGTGTGAACCTGAAGGCATTTCTGATTGGACTTTTGATGAAAATTGTCTGTTCTGTTGCTTGAGAAGAGATAAAGTAAAGGTAACCAAGAAATTTGTGAAACTTGTGTAAAATATTTTAAAGTTTCTTAAAAAAAAAACTTATCACTTTGTTAGAGGATTTATAGGAAAGGGAAAGTGTTTAAAGGGTTTTTGATAGTAACTTTGCATTTTAAACTGTTTCTTGTCTGTTGGTTATCCTTCTGAGAAATCTGTATCCCAGGATGCATTTATTTATATAGTTCATTAGGCAGAATAATTAGGTTTATCCTGATATGAAGTTATATGACAATTCAAGAAATGGGATTCACTTTTAGTACAAAAAAAAAACAGTAACATAGATCTTGATCAAGTATTTAATAATTCATATATTTATGATATACTGTGGTTTATACCTTAAAGTAAGATTCTTTTGGGGTCATGAATGCTGTTTGTATTCAGTTGTAGAAATTAGCTGAACTTTTGTGTTTTTATCATTGTATTGCTTTGTGTCAACAGGCTTTTGGTTTGGAAATATTTCGGTTATTGAAACTGTTGATAATGATTTACTGTCTTGTATTTCTTTTCATGCTACTTMCCCCCCCCCCCCCCGTTAAAATTTTTTTTGTAGTTGTAGGTGAACAGCATGCCTTTATTTGTTTATTTTTATTCGGTGCTAAGGATTGAACCCAGTGCCTCATAATGTGCTAGGCAAGCACTCTGTCACTGAGCTACAACCCCAGCCCTGTGTTTCCTATTTTAAAGCCAAGGAAACATTTTGAGTCTTCCTCCTTCTGTGTACACTGAATTTAAATCCTTGACCAGGTTCTCTCAGTTTCTCCCTCTAATGAATTCCCTTCTTTTTCATTTCTACAGTGAAATTACTGTGAAACAGTAGTAACCATAGTTTAGACACCAGTCACTATTTCTGGACCACTGAAATAACATGATTGGTCCTTCTCAGTTTTCTTCAGGCTTTTCAATACTACTATTAAGTTAAACTCCTTACCCCCAATCATCACCCCTCAAATAGTGTGGAAGTATTACCCTGTACTCAGTTTTCAGTCACTTTCTCATTGTCTTCTGGATCCACCACCCAATTCTTAGTGTGACTCAGTACCTAACACAATTCAGTCTGATTTTCTTTCTAGTATTCTATATAATTTCCTTTGAACTAAACTAAAAATCTGAGAAATTTAGTCTGATCATTTGTATTAAACAACATGTTTTTACTAGTCTTTGGACTGTACCATTGAATACTTGTTCTCTCTAACTTGAAAGTCTCTTGCTTTTACTCTAAGCGCCCCGCCCCCCATATGTTGTATATCTATGCTCTAATGCTGTTTCATCTTTTACTCTGGTTTTGTTGTTTGTTTTGGTTGGTCTTGGTACTGAGGATTGAACTCAGGGGTACTCAACCACTGAGCCACAATCCCTAGCCCCCTTTTTATTTAGATTATTTATTTATTTAATTTATTTAGAGACAGGGTCTCGCTGAGTTGCTAAGTGCCTCACTAAGTTGCTGAGGCTGGCTTTGAACGAACTTGCAATCCTCCTGCCTCAGCCTCCTAAGCAGCTGGGATTACAAATGTGTGCCATCACACCTAGCTGTTTTGTTTTTGATGGGATGTTTTGTTTTGTTTCACTACTGAGAATCCAGTCTCAAACAGTTGATCTAAATGCCCAACCTTTTTAAAAATTTTGTTTTGAGGCAGGGTCTATTAAGTTGCCCAGACCAGCCTCCAAACTTGCCTCAATCCTTTTATCTCAATCTACCGAGTAGCTGGATTGTAGRTGTGCACCAATGTGCCTGGCTTTCATGCAGTTGTTATAAATTTTATACAACTAATTATTTGACATTTAATATTCTGCCTTATTCTGTTCATCCTTTTCTATGTTTGAATTTTCTGTCGTTCCTGGTTAYATTTGTCAACTGCTGAAGTCTAGAACATGCCATATTCTTCTTTGTTCCCTTCAGTGTAGTCACTTTAACACTGTTTGATTGTTGGCAAGTTGCTTAAAATCTAAAGCCACCAGTTAACAGTTTCTTAATATTATTCTTTTGTGGCATCTTTTTCTTGTCCCCCACCCCCACCCCCCGAATGAAAAAGTTGTGACTCTCTGAAATGGTGTGTTTTCATTGAATTGATGAGGAAGTTTTGAAATTTAATTTCTTTTGAAAGCAACCAGAAAACGAAAGATGTTGTTCTGAGTTAGACTACCAATGAAGTTGAAAATCATCATTGTAAACTGTGTGTGTATTATGTGCATCTTGGCTCTTATTGAGTAAATCATTTAATATGAATTTTGGTAGAGTAGAAGAAAGAGCGATTGTCTTTAACAGGTTAGGATTGAGAAGACAGCCATTCTATTTGGCAGTTGAATACAGTATTTCTTGTAATATGATTTAAGAGTTTTCTATTGCTGCATGAGGCTAAAATATTATATGAATATTAGGAGAAAATGCTGAAATAGAAATTTATGGAACATTACAACATTTAACCCCCCCCTTTTGTAAGTGTTTGAAGTTTTACAGTTTTTAACTAGTTTTCTGAGTAGAAAATATATTTCCAATTGACAACTCCAGAGAACACTGTTTTTCTTCATTAGATACTATACTATTTTTCTTTGTCATTTATTGTTTTCACAGAGACCCATACAGCTATAATGGAGAGTAGGAAAGAGCCTAGATTGTGTGAATTGTCATGTATRTATCTTTTTGTTGTGGGATTCTTTGTACAAATCAAGAGCATCTCAACTAAGAAGGATTGGAATCTGGAAATTAAGTGTATCCATTGGGATAAAGGTTAAACTTGAAAAGAAAGAAAAAAAAAACCTGGAGAAGAAGAAAATATCAGGCTGAGCACAAGTGGAACAACCTCGTAATCCTGGCTAATTGGGATTGTGAGATAGGAGACTGCCAAGTTTGAGGCCATTGAAGTCCACTTAGTGAGACTCTGTCTAAAATAAAGTTTAAAAAGGGTTGGGGAACATAGCTCAGTGGTAGAGCATGAGGCCCTGGTTTCAATTCCGAGTACCACAAAATAAAAATAAAAAGCAGATGTRGGGGTGGGGTGGAAAGGGAAATAYCTGGAAAGTGTGGTAATAACCAATAGATGGCAGTATTGAGCATGATATTGGAATCCTGAGTTTCAGGTTGGAATGATGACATAATTTAGGTAGTGTTTGGAAAAGCAGTAAGAAATAATGGTCTGATATTTGAGTAGGAGATGGAAGTTTTGTGTATTTTTTAGTTAATTGGATTTTCAGTGAATACTGAGACTGTTAGAATGAGTAAAATAAATACATTACTTGTTTTCTTCATAAAACATGTAGGTGAAAGATACGAAATAGTCTGTCTTTCAGAGATTTGAACAGAGATTGTCTAAAGATTAGAGTAGTCTCCCTTATTTGGGGGGTATACATTCCAAGAACTCCTCCCCATTAGATGTCTGAAACCACTAATATATATCTAGATATATTAGTATTAAACCATATATATCTAGATATATCTATATAGATAGTGTATTTTCATTGAATTGATGAGGAAGTTTTGAAATTTAATTTGGTTTGAAAGCAACCAGAAAAATGAACGATGTTGTTCTGAGTTAATATATATATATATAAAGTATCACAGTAAATATTTGTAAGTATTCTTTTTATAATACTAGATTTTCATCATACAGTAATTTTAGCATCTATTGATAAATATTGCCTTATAAAATATTACTGTGATTATGTGACAGTTAATGTGTGTATACACACACAACACATTGTGCAGTAAAACAGTTGTGGCATATAAGATCCTACAGAGGTTAGAGATATAATTTGTAAGGGGAAAGTAGCTAACATTTCATGAACATCTATTTTGTGCCAATTACCTTTATATGTTACCATTTAATCTTCAAAACAACTTATAATGAAGTGGTTAAAGGTATCCCAGTTTTATAAATAAAGAAGTGTAGGGCTGGGGTTGTGGCTCAGTGGTAGAGCGTGTGCCTTGCATGTGTCAGGCACTGGGTTTGATCCTCAGCACCACATAAAAATAAATAAAGGGATTGTGTCCATCTACAACTAAAAAAATATTTAAAAAAAAGAAATGGGAAAGGTCAGGAAGTGAGATTGTTATAGGCAGAATCACATAGCTGGGATTTTATTTGTTTTTAAGAGTTCATACAGTTTAATAGCAACATTAGGGACAGGATTGGGGGAAGTGGAGAGCAAGGTAAAACAGGATTTGGCATTACTTAGGTGGACAGAGGGAGAGAACATGAAAGTAACTGAGCTTGACCATATTAAAAGGTCCAATCTTAGCTGTGTTAGAAATCTGTGTATGCTTCACTGACTGCCTGACTTGTTTGGTTGCATCTTTCCTTCTAATTGGGCAAAATGTAGGTACCCGATAGAATATAATAGGTGAGGTACTAAGAAGTTGGAAGGCTTCATAAACTTGGCAAAGTGTAATGTTAATAGCTGTTTTGAGTGCTTCCACATGCCAAGTATATGTTCACAGTTCTCTTGTTTATTACCTAGTCATCAGGGTTTTAAACTTTTTTGGCTTCTTTTAAAAATAATAGTAGGCTTATAAAGAAGTTGCAAAAATCATACAACAAATTCCTATGTACCCTTTAGCCAGATACCCAAATGTTTTTATGTAACCTCCGTATAATTATAAAAATCAGGAAATTAACATTAATTCAATACTATTATGTTCTGCACATCTTTAAAAATTAACCAGTTACTCCAGCAATATCCCTTTTCTGGTCCAGGAGCCAATCTAGAATCACATTTTATATTTTGTTGTCATATCTTCTTTAGCCTGCTATAGTTCTCAGTTTTACTTTGCCTTTCTTAATGTTGATACTTACGATGAATACYGGCAAGTTGGTATGTAGATTTTACCTCTCTGTTTGGTTGTACCCAAAAGTCCTCATGACTGAAATTCAGCTGTACATTTCCAGCAGGAATTCCATAATACTGATATTGTGTCATCCTTAGTAGACCATGTCAGAAAGCATGTGAGCATGTTTACTATGATCACTTGGTGAAGGTGTTATCTGTCAG